TCAAATGTCCCTGGTCACTGCTCCTCGGCCTTGTCCCCTTCCCAGCCCTATTTTTAGGGTGTTTTGCAAACACTCTGCACTGAGGGTGTGGGGTCTGGGCGGCTCCAGCCACCCGAGCTGTTTGCTCCTGTGTTTGCACTTGGGTTATTTCAGAGGCACAATTTGGGGGTTAATTGCAGCTGCTCCGAGGAGAACCAGCTCTGCACTGCCCTGGGGCCAGAGGGGCTGCGTCAGCCTCTCTCACCCTGCTCCAGCTCCATCACTGCCTCCTTTGGTGCTGCCACTCCCTGCAGAGCTGCTCATGAGGTGATCAAAAAGGTCAAGTTTTGTTCAAGTTGTTGGAACACTGTTCAAGGTCAGGCTGGATGAGGCTTGGAGCAACCTGGGCTAGTGGAAGGTGTCCCTGCCCATGGCAGGGGGCGGAACAAGATGGTCTTTGAGGTCCCTTCCAAAACAAACCCTTCCAACCCAAACCATTCCATGGTGATTCTATGATTCTTCCTGAGCTCTGTGTTTGCTGTGGCTGAACACTGCCGGGAGAGGAAAATCCAACTCTCTCTGTGCAGCAGTGAAGGCAACACTGTAAACAAAGCAGAGCTGCAGTGCTGCCTCTGTTCTCCCCTTTCCACCCCCCAAAAGCCTCTGGCTATGATGGGCACAGGCTGAGCTGGACCTGGTGACCTTAGGGCTGTGGGTGTCAGGCCCTGATCCAGCTGGAGGGAAGGGCTGGAGATGCTGCCAAGTATTCAATACAAAAATATCCCATCATTTGGCACCGAGGGCTGTGCCAGGAGGACATTTGCCCCCAGTGTGCTGAGCAGGGGAAGGAGAGGCTGAGCATGGCCAGGTGGGCACAAAGCTCCCAGTCTGGAGCAGCATGGAATGCCCACCTGTGTCAGCCCACCTGGCAGGTTACCTGCAGCCTCAGCACTTTTCCCAGCTGCTTCCCGACGCTCCTGCCCACGCAGCTGCTTGGGCAATCGGCAGCATCTCCTCTCTCTGACAGCAGGAGGGAGCTGCCATCCCCAAGAGCTCCAGGAGCAGGGACTGGATATGGGTAAGGACAGGAGTCACAGCCAAAATACCTTTGGACTCCTGGACCTCTAGAGATTTTCTTGGAAGACAAAGGGCAGTAAAGTTTTCTTCATGGAAATCCTGTGGAACAAGGGAAAAGCTCCACACCCACAGAGCAGGTCTCACTGCCTGTGGGGATTGTATCCCCTTACCAAGATCAGGAGCAACAGTGAACACTTCCCATCCCTAAAACCCTGATTCCTCACTTCCCTCCCCTCTGGAACGAGCCCTGTGCTCTCCTCTCCTGCCTCAGCTACCAAACACAAGTCACTAAAGCTTTAGAGGATGTTAGAATCCACAGTGTTGGGTTTTCTAAAGACAATATGGAAGCCTGTTGTCCTCAGGTTGTGCTGCCAGATTCCAGAAAAAACAGGAATTGAAGAGGAATGAGAGTGTGGGGAATTACCAGCTGGTTAAATTGGTTTAATTCTGCTGCAGGTTCAATCCTGCTGTGGGTTCAATCCTGCTGTCAGGCTGCAAAAAGAGTTTAGATTCATTTCCATACTAAAGTTCCAGATCCTCCTTGCCCTAGGCCCTTCGAGTTTGCAAAGGAGAGATTTATCCAAGTAATTACTTAAAGAAAATAAAATCTAATCCTCTTGGTTGGTAGAGCTCAGGAAATGCTTTGTAAGAGGTTTTAGTTGTGCCCTGAAAACCCAACCACCTCCAGCTCCCCAGGGCAGCACTCAGGATAGTTTGAGCTTGTCTGTCTTCAGGAGGGATTTCTGCTGGAAGCAGGTGAGGGGCAGCCAAAGCTCAGCTCATGGAATGGGGAAAAACACTGACCAAAACCTCCCAAGTCTCATTTTTTTGACCTTGATTTCATCCCTGGCAGGTGGCTAAGATCAGTCTGTCCCACTTGTGTGTTCAGTGACTGTCCAAGTCCTGTTTTCCTAAAGCTTTGAAATATAGCAATCACAGCCCCAAATTAATTCAATATAGATCTATCCCTCGGCAAACATTCCAGCTGCTCTAGAAGGGATAAAGCAGAGAGAGAAGGAATGTGCTCACAGATAGAGGCAAGAGCAGCCATTTCTTAGCCAAGCTGGGAAAAGCTAAAATTTTCTGCAAGCCATTTGGAATCCTCCCTGCAGCTCTGCTGAGAGGACAGAGATGGATCAGCCCCTCAGGAACACGGCAGAGTGAGGATCCTGACTCCAAGCCCAGCCTCTGGCAGAGCAGCTCCCAGCTCTCTCCTGCCCTGCTGCGAGGAGGAGACTTGGGCTGGTTCCAGGTGTGTGCTGTGCTCAGCACAGATAAGGCACCACGAGCTGGAAGAGGTGCCAAACTCACCTCTGGCACGGGTGAGCCTTTCCCTCGGGACAGTCATGGCAGAGCTGGGAATTTCAGCACCTTCATCTTCCCTGTGAGGTGCTGAGACACTGGCACAAGCTGCCCAGAGAAGCTGTGGCTGCTCCATCCCTGGAAGTGTTCCAGGTCAGGTTGGATGGGGCTTGGAGCAACCTGGGCTAGGGGAAGGTGTCCCTGCCCATGGCAGGGGTGGAACAACATGGGCTTTGAGGTCCCTTCCCACCCAAACCATTCCAAGATTCTATGAAACCTGGGAGAAAACCCTGCCCAGTGCACACCATCAGCCTCCAGCACAAGATGCCAAAGAAACTGGCAGAGACTGGAAGAGCAACATGATGAGGAAGACTTCATAGGAACTGTTTTTCTTCCCTGCGTTTACTTCTCCATTTGGGCATTGGTCACTACTAAGGATTCCCAGAAAATGGCTATTTTCCATGTGCAAGTCCAGACTTTGAAAAAAAAAAAATCACATGGAAAGTGTATTTTGAGCTGGAAAAGCTGCTGTGGTGCTTGCAACAGAGCCAGGGGTTGACTTTTCCCACCCTGGGAACAGACATCAGAGGCCATGGCAGGAGCCTGGCCCTGGGAGGATGGATAATGTGCTGGAATGCTGCTCCTCTCCCTGGGATCCTGCACCCACAGCAGCAGGAGAGCCCCAAACGAGCCTTGTGGGTCCCTTCCAACTCAGGAGAATGGATGAAAATGCTGAACTATGGCTCCCATAAGGATGGGGGAGCTTCCCCCATAGAAATCCCTGAGAAGTTTTTCCACTACCAAATTTCTGCTGGAAAATTACCTTTAAAGAAAAACTAAACCCCACATTTTCCCCAGATTTTTGGGTAAGGGAAAGACATCAGAGACACACATGGTGCTCACTCACCTCCTTTCCATCTGTATCCTAACAGAAACACCTCCCTTATCCTCATCTTTTGTTTTTCCTACCAAGACCTTATTGTTTCCATGCTCTGTCTTTCTTTGGGGAAGAAAATAGGGAATAAATCTCGTTGGATACAGCTGGATGGGTCCTGGGAAGCTGGATGTAACCAAGTAACAAGGATCCTAGCAACAGGCTTGATGGGAGGATTTAAAGATAGAAAGAAAAGTAGGAGCAAAGCAAACAATGGGAAAATGTCTCCTTCCCTTAACTCTCGACCCTGGAGCAGGAGATAAATCAGCTCCAGGCAGGGAAAGATGCTTTGGTTGGAAAGCAAATAGAAATTATCAGGCAGAGATGAGGATTTTTGAAACCACTTTTACAGGTGTCATTTGTACAAATCAAAGCATCCCTTGAAAATCTCCTTATTACAAACATACAAAGAAACAATGTTGGTGCTACAAATCAGCTACGCCATGGCAGGAGAGACTGACCACAATTAAAAACCCATCAGAACAGTATTTACAGGGTCTTTCTCCCTCTTTTTAATTCCTATTTCTTGAGGGAAGCAAAAAAAAAAAAACAACCCAGCAAAGCCCCCAGTTAAAAAACCCTCCCACCAATGCAGCTCAGTTTCTAAAAAGTATAAAATTGGGTGAGTTTTTCCTGCTGTCACACTCTGGCAAAGTGTAACAGCTTCTGGTTTTGCTTGTTTGCACATCACAAGTCTCTTAGAAAAACCCCAAAAGAAGAGAAAAAACCCCCACATGGCAGTGTCCAATGAAGAGTGCTCCTTCTGTGCCAGAAGCCAACATGATCCAAAAAAAAAAAAAAAAAAAAGGCCCTTTGAAAAAAATCAACTTCAGGAACAAATACAAAAAAACCCAAAAGGCTGAAAAAAAAATAAAAATCACAAGCTCTAGTTAAAAGCTTAATCAAAGCATTGATAGAGCAGCCAAAGGATGAGTTCTCTCACCTACCTGCAGCCCCTGCCTGGGGGTCTCCAAGCCCTGAGATGTTTCTTCACCCCCTGACTGGAATTCAGGATGCCAAGGAGTGCTCCTGCCAGCTGGGAGCTGTGTGCTGCTCCCTCTCCAAGTGCTTTTATCCACCCCAAAAGAGGTGCCTGGGGGACCCATCCCAGCTGGAAGGGTCAGTGGTGGCTGTGCTGTTTTGGGGCAGCACATCCCTGGTACAGGGAACTCTCATAGCCCTTTGATCCTGCTGGTTTTGAACCAGCAGTGAGAAAAATCCCTGGAGAGCCCCAAAAAACACTCCCTGGCTCGGGTTGCTGCCTGAGTAAGTGCTTTCCTGGAGCCAGCCTGGCCCCTGCATCTGGAAAGGGCAGGGAAAGGGGGAGAAGAGGGAATATCCAAGCTTTGAATATCCAAGCTTTGAACTCTCCTTGCGTAAAGAAGTGGAGTAAGAGACGCTTGATCACACCAAGCTGCAAAAGTCATCGAAGCCCCAAAGGTCACTAAGTAACCAGGGCACCAGGAGGGGGAATTTGGGATGGGTTTGGGGCTGGATCATTCCACTCTGGCTCCCAACCCAAGAGCTCTAATCAGAAAAAAATACCCCAAGAGAATACAAAACCAGGCAGTTTGGTTTGCCAAGTTGACAGAGAAAAGAAGAAAGCAAAAAAACAAAACAAAACTCTTCCAAGATAAATACAAGGCCCCCAGTTGGGAAGCATCTTCAAAAAGCTGGATCAACCGTTGTCAGCAGTGGCACAACCTCCCAGGAACATCTGTTGGGCTGGTGAGTTCTTGGCTTCCTTTTGAAGAGGGAAGAGTTCAAGGGAATAAAAATCCAGCTCCCACCACAAGCAGCTCCCAGTTTATCTCCAGGAAAATTGCGACTGCTTCACAGCAGCAGGTTGGGAACCAGCAAGGAGCCTCTAATGCAGCAGGTTCCTGTTTGCTCATGGGAAGGGCTGGAAGAGCTGGCAGTGGTAGTAACTGGTTAGGAAAAGAATTCTTCCAGAAAACAGTACTTGAGGGGGGATTCAGGAAGGTTGGGACCTCTCCCCGTGGACTGACACCGGCCACGCTCGAGCATGCTGTCGGAAGGCAACACACAGCAGGAACTCCTATGGGGCCCACGGCAGTGGGATAGTGACAACATGGAGGTTTTGGCTTCCAGTGATCCAGCAGGTCTCCCACACTCCTTGGCTAATGCTGGGGAAAGCTCCCGGATTGGGGGGGTGGCTTTAAGGGGAGGTTATTGCTCCTGACTTCTCAGGCTTTTTGCCTTTGGACAGGGCAGCTGCTTGCTTCAGGAGTTCTCTGTTCTTAGCCTGGAAACAGGGAAAATGGGTATGTCATGGCATGGATCATCATGAGCTCCTGGAATCCCAAAACTGCCTGGGCAAGAGCTGCTGGCCACCCAAACGATGGGATGGGAATGGCTCTGGGCTGACACAGGATCAGTAACACAGAGCAGGGACAAGGCTCAGGCTGTCAGCAGTCCCTCCTGGGGAGCAGGAAGCACCTCCAGCTCTCTCCACACCACACAGAGATATTCCAGCTTCAGCCAGGCTGAAGGGTGTGCATGGTGAAGGGGATCTCACAGGCACCAGTGCTGACAGCAGCTCCCAAACCTGCTTTCCACTGGGATACTTCCTCGTGTGTGGATGGAGGAGGGGCTGTTTCCTCAGGGGCAATAGAAGCCTTTTGTCTCACCCCCTCCAGTCCCTCATCCCCGGGGTTTAGATCTTTATATACTCAGAGTAATTAAAGGTGCAAAGTTCATTTCTGTTGTCTGATTTCTTCCCCTTTGACCCAATCCCTTCAGTGGCTCAGGGCATTCATGCTGATAGTCTGCTGTGTTTCCACAGCCATGACAAGAATCCTGCTCTCCCTGTTCCCTCCAGCTCAGGGACTTCTTTATTTGGACTGCAGAGATACAGAGCTAAAGGAACTGCCAATTGTTCCTTTGTTCTCTCTGGTTACTGGTCACACAAATCACAGGGAGGTGATTTAGAGGTGCAGGACAGAGACAAAGGCTCTGCAGGCAGGAGAAACAGGTTCAAACCTGATTTTGGCAATAGGTAAAGTGAGTTTGATAGTTCCTGTCTATCCTTAAGGGACAAAACACAGCACTTTACAACACAGTCAGTGTGAGCTGAGTAGAGAGCAGCAAGGAGGATGTAAAAGGGGGTTAGGATGCAGTGCAGAGCTGGGGAGGGGTAGGACAGGACTGAGAAGCATTAACAGAGCTCTGTGTGCAGGAGCTCACAGGGTGCTGTGATCAGGAGTGTCCTCAGTCCCTCTGAGATACAGCTCAGGAGTGTCCTCAGTCACTCCTGGATACAGCACAGCTCAGCAAATTAAACCAAAAATGCTGTCACCTGTAACTGCTCCATGACCTCCTTGTGTGTCTTCTCCATTTGGTTCATCTTTGCCCTCATCTGTGATTCCTGGTACTGTAGGTCAGCTTTCAGCTCTGTAATCTGTGGAGAAACCAGGAAGGAGCAAGTGAGCTGGAAGAAGCAATAAATGACTTCACCCCAGCTGCACCCTGACATGGAAAACACCTCTGCAGAAGGTGTGTGAGACTGGCTGAGCTCAGAGACATGCTGGGGGGCTACAATGAGACCAGGACCGTGTCACTGAGGGCACGGAGCAGCAGGAAGGGCCAGGACTGTGTCTCTGCAAGGAGACAGTTTGTTCCCAGTCTTGCCCACACACAGAGGTCTCCAAGAGAGTGGTCAGGAAATGACCCTTGATGAAACGAGAGCTCCTGGGTGGGTCCAGAAAGCCTCTTTGCCTTTGGAAAGAAGGCAGCCTGGAGCCAGACGCTCTTGCTCACTCCCAGATAAAAAGCCAAGCTGGGTCAGAGTGTGATCTGTGAGAACATGTCAGTGTGCTGGGGGGGGAAGCAAGCCAAGGGCTGTACCTTCTTCTCCTTCTCCAGAATCATCTGATCCTTCTGGTGCAGCATCTTTTTTAAAGTGGCCACTTCCTCCTTCAGCTGAGCAATGATGACAAAGTGGTCAGTGCCAGGGGAGTCCAGGGCGAGGTCTGGAGAAAAGCTGCAGCAAAGAACAGGGAGAGGCTCTGATCACACCCCTCCTCTTCACTGAGGCAGGGAAACTCCCACGGATGCACTCAAAGGAGAATGGGAAACACTTCATGATCCCTCAGGATCCTTCTTCAAACCAGAGAGTTGAGGACAGCAATCAGAGAAATAATTAAACTTTTTACATCCCTTTGGAACTCTCTTTGCTCACAGACAGTCCTTGGACGCACTGCAAAACTTTCCACTGAATGTAAACAAACATTGTGGCAAGGAGGGATATGAAAGAGAAACAAATAACCTCCAAGTTCAACAAACAAAGCAAAGGGAAACAGCTAAATTGAAGTCAGCACTGTCCTCAGCAGGGAAAAGGGGTAAAAACCACACACTGGACTTTGTATTTTCATTCTGCAACGATAAAGCAATTTAGGGAGAAGCTTCATTGCTTCAGAGCAGGAAAAACTCTCCAGGAAGACAGAGAAATAGCTGAGCACAACACCTGCACAGCACCAGGTACTCTAAATACAATCAACCAGCTGCAAACTGATCTGGACGTGAGTCACTGCTGCACTGGTAAATCACAAACCTCCCTGTGAGACACCCAGTGACCCAGTCAGCCACACACGGTCCTGTGCTGCAGGAAGAGCTGAGATCATAAGACACAATCGGCTGCAGCCACAGGCCCAGGGTGCTCACCTGATTTTTCCCTGCCTTCTGTTTTATCCCTAAGGCTGATTCTTATCTCCTGGGGCTAAGAGGGCAGCACACTCCCAGCCACACACACCTGAAACTGGTATCTAGAGCAATTTAACAGTAATAAGACAACAAAGCTTCACCCAGAAGATGACTTCAAGTCTGGGTGGTATTAGATAAACAAGGATAAACAGCCAAGGGCACATGGGGCTTGTTTTTTTTTCTTGAAGCCTCCAGAGTAGGTCAACACTCAGCTCTAAAGCTGGAGCGGCAGTGGGGTGGGGAAGGCATGAAACCCAAAATTCTACATCTCTCCAGTCCCCCATCTGTACCCCAAGGCAGAGATTGCTCACCGCTCACCTCACACAGGGTCTCCTCTAGCACCTGGAAATGATCCACTTCCTAATTAAAAGCACAGTCTGCTTTGATTGGACTCGTTAGCAAGGATGTGGCATAAGAAAAGGCTTTCCCTCACTGTGCTGGGGATCTGCAGAGGGAAACTAAGCAGAGGCAGATCTGAAGAGTCAGAGGATGGCCCTGAGGCACTGGGAGAGAAAGCTTGGCAAAGGCAAACTCGGAACTGAGGGGCTGCAGGAGACAGCCTGCAGTGCAAGAGCCTTGCAGGGCTAAAACATGCTGACAGCAGAGCCCACACTGAGATGTGGCAGGTCCCTGGGCACACTGGATCCAGCACTGTGCTGGGCAGAGCACAGAGAGGTTCATACCCACACACCAGCACAGAAAAACTCCATTTCAAAGCTGTTCCCAAGTAGTTTCCCCGAGTGGAGGCTGTGCAAGCTGCTGGTGGGTGCTCCAGCACCTTCCTGTGTGCAAGCACGTTACTAACAGCAGCTTTAATTTCCCACTCAGTGCAAATATGCTGGGGAGGAGAGAAAGAGATTGAAAAAAAGAAAAAAAAAAAGCAGCCTCCACAGAGAAAGGCTTCCTTACTGATCCCCTCTGGCTAACAACAATCCCTGGTTACACCATTCCTCTGCCCAGGCATGCTTCCCTCCTGCCGTGCCCTGGGGTGATAAAGACTGCAGGGAGATACTTGTATATCCCTAAGCAGCTCCAGCAGGAAAAATTCGCTGCTTGGCAGCTCCAGCTGCCCAGCACACTGCGGAGTTGGGAAGGTGAGAGCCAGCCCTGCCACCCAGTGGGGAGAAGGAAGGGACAGGAGGGCCAGCAGCCCTGCACAGAGTACCTGACCCCAGGGGCTCCTCCTGCACCCACCAGCAGGGAACAGAGGGCTTGGAGTGCCCAGGGATCCTCCTGACAGGTATGTGAACACAGCCAGGGATTTTCCTCTCCAGCTGCTGCAAACAGACCCCTCCAATGTGTCAAGGTGCTAATTAAAGAAGCAGCTTTTTTTTTTCCCCTTCTTGTATTTTTTCAAAGGCTGACAAGTTAGTAATGAAAGGTTCCTCTGTCCTTAACCCCACACTAAGGAAGCAGCCTGAGACTCCAAAATTAGAGGGAAAACTGCCAAATCCAAGTCACTCCATTCCTTTAACAAACGGCTCAAGAATTAAAACAACCAAACAGAAAAAAAAACACCCCACACACAAAAAAGCCATTTCCTCTACAAATAAACTCATTGGGATAGGTCAGGGGACATGTGCTCTCCATGTCTGAACAGCCTAAAATGCACACTGCTAATTAAAGGGAATTGATGTGCTCCTGTTGTTTGCAGTGGAGACAAGAGGACAAAAATGGAGCTGTTCCAAAGACACTGTTCCAAAGACCCCTGCCTGTCTCTATTGGCTGGAAAAGAAACCAAATCGACTGCCTCAAACTCCACACCTGTGAAATGGCTGAAAGGAGGCAAAACAAAGGCTAGGCTTAAAGATTTTGCTATTCAAGTCAGGCTGGTGTGAAGAGGCACAGACCAGGCACAGAATCAGCATTCGTATTTCACCTTAGACAAAAAGCACCTGGAATACTGCATCCAGCTCCAAGCCCACATCAGAAGGATCTGGAGCTGCTGGAGCAAGTCCAGAGGAGGCCACAGAGAGGTTCTGAGAGCTGGAGCACCTCTACTCTGGAGCCAGGCTGGGAGAGCTGGGGGTGTTCAGCCTGGAGAACAGAAGGGTCCAGGGAGACCTAAGATCCACTTCCAGTGCCTAAAGGGGCTCCAAGAGAGCTGGAGAGAAACTTCGGACAAGGGCCTGGAACGCCAGGACACAGGAAATGGCTTCCCACTGTCAGAGGGCAGGGATAGATGGGATATGGGGAGGAAATTCTTCCC